TAGTAAGGGCCAAAATATTTGCAAAAATAAATATGTGATATATTCGGAAATCGCAAAGGCGTGCATAAAAGATGTTGACAGATCACTCACGAGCTGAGCATAAACATAGTCTCCCCGACAACAAGATCAAGTTGCGACAACGAGACTGGCAACAATCGTCGACGCTGCCGGCGCAACGTCTTGAAATGTACCAATTCCGCAGTCAAATGCTGGGACTTGGTATAACCACTACAGCAGAGGAGTTTTGACAAGTTATGTTCAACCAAGTCGCCCTGACAACACGAACAAGTTTCGAAAAGGAGGTCGCAACACTTCAATACATCATCTTAATCTTGGCATCTTTGTTCTCTACACTTCTGTGCTCTTCTATGGGTATATTTGTGTGTGTGTGTGTGTGTGTGTGTGTGCTTGCTTTAATGTTGTGTGTGTCTCTTTTCTCGAGCCATTAACGAGAGCCCAACTCGGTTAGTTCGAACTGACTATTGGTCCACCACTCGACTTCAGATGATGCCCATTTCAGCCATTCGCTTGAAGGCCGGACGGTCTGTGTGAAGTAGCGGGCGACGAGGATTCGTGGCAAGCGTTGGTGCGCTCCAAGACGGCGTCTTTTCAAGACTGCAATCCGACGCCGCCAGGCAGCATTCGATGGTGTAGTCGAGAGGTCTGAGCTGGCATTACTCGCACCTCGTCCAGCCAATGACCTGCATCCCTCGTCCAGTCACGCTCATTCACACGCTCGTCGCCATTTCACACAATCTGGCGCTTTCTGCTGCATGGATCGTAACTGGGACGGCAGGAAACCACGTCGTACTAGGCACTTCGAGACGAGGAGTCTGATGACGACGGCCACTTTCGAAGCTGGTCGTCGTCATAGCCACGAAAAGGCGCCTCATTGCGTGTGAAAACCCACGGAAAGCCTGGCATTTTCGAGTGTTTCGACCCTGGGGTCAAGGTGCTGGCCTTTTGCCTTGCCTCCTTCCGCGCGCCAGAGTCGAAAGGTCGCCCGAACCGCATCCTCGGGTCATTCGTCTTCACGTCGTCTCCCCATTTCGTGTATATTATTCTGCAGTTTTCCGTCTCCAAGGCCACCTCAAGCCCGATTTACCTTGTGACGAGTTTCTGCCACTTATTTCTCCGGCATTTAGCCCATCTTTTCGGATCATATGTCCTCTTCAAGCACGTGCCCACGGGCTTCGTTCACATGCCGGCAACCCAGAAGTGGAGTGCTCTTTCGACGCTCGAAATTGTTAGTGTTGATTTCATAGGTTTGCGTGCACCTCAGCACACACACACACACAGGCACATGTTGCTAGGTTGAAATATGACATTGACCAACCAACTGACAATGCGAAGAAAAGTTGAGTTTCGACGAGTTTCTTGTTTCACAATTGTTGAGCCTACTTCCATTTCGAGTGGAAGTGTTGCGTGAAGAGATTCGAAGGTCGGTTCCACCAGAAGACGACGGCCGATTCCTCTTGACCAACTGTCGATTGGCTTCAATGGAACATTCTTGCTGACGCTGTTTCCAAGGCAATCTCCTTCGATTCCGGTGAAAAGGTGCTAAGCTTTCGTCCGTCATATGAAGAGCATCATCAGAGCAAAGAATCATCGTTACAGACAAATTGAAACTAACGAGTCAGGAAAACCTACCGGAGAATCGCTGAATAGCGACTGAACTAGTCTTTTCCTGCCTCGGTTCTAATCATAGTTACTTCTCTGTACTTTTGACCCACTCTTTCTCTCTCACAAAAAGACAAAAAACAGCTCATCAACATGTGATGGTTATAACATGTTTGTGGAAAGAGGGAGATGGCCGAGAACAGACGCTACTTTTGCTGTCCTAATTACTTTGAGCCATGACTGCTGGTTCCGTGACTAAGCGAACACAAACAGACACACAAACATACAGAGACATGCACACTCACAAGTTTTAAGGTTGATATAG